TTGGCCCCATACCGCCTGGCGCATCCCAGTCGGTGGGTCATATCACCGAGGCCCATGTGGACCTTCAGTCCTATACATAATCTTTATATACCTGACCGGTCTCTACCAGCCTGGTTAACAGTTGGGATGGTTCTCAACCCATTCAACTGCCCGTATAGTGGACCTCAGTCCTATATCACATTAATATCCCTGACCGATCTTAACCGGCCTAGTTAACAGTTGGGATGGTTCTCAGCCCATTCAACTGCCTGTATAGCCCAATTGGTCTTAACCAAGTTGGGGTCATGCATCACGTAACACACAATAGCACATAATGACACATTATTCACATAGGGAAGGGGGAACATATAATTAAGCTTACATGTGATCATTCACACACTAAGAATAGTTCCTAAGGGCTCATATAACTTCCACCTAGGTCCACGGGTTACCAATTCAACTAGCATGCAATTTCTAAGACTCGTTTAACCTACGAATAGTACCCGAAATTCCAAACTAGACTCAGGCACGACAAACAGGGTCCGTTGGGACATCATGGGGGACGGGGAACATCAAACGGGGAAGCTGGGGACCCAGGGTGGGGTGTGGACCAGCGGGTAGCCGGTTGGTGGGGGTCACCTGCCGGTGGGCGCTGTTCTGGGCAGCGGGTAGGTGGTGGGTTCCCCCACCCCCACCTACCCCCCACTGACTCTTTTCTCAAATATTCGTCCCGGGGACCTTTGTGGGACCCGAAACCATGCTTAGACACTTTTAAACGCAAATAACGACACCACGTAAGCAATTAACGGATCAAAAGCAAGAATCATGTAGGACTTATCCTATTATGACTCCTAAATGTAAACAACACCTGAACATGCAAATTCCCTCCCAAATACAAATCGAGAACATCATAATACAAATTCCCAATCCAACCTAGGGCTCTAATCCCGCCCAAATCATCAAGAACATATTTAATCTTTAACATCAAGAAAATATCAAGATTCGTCAAGAATCATCACTTCATAATCAAGAACTTCTTCTCAACATTAAGATTATCAAGATTATCAAGTAAAAGCATATAAATCATCTTATCAATCATCAAGAACATAACATAATTATCATAGAAGAGTTCAATCAAGACACAAGAATATAGAGGGAGGCCAAGGAAGGAGATTATAGCGAAGAAAATAGGTTTTGTTGAGACATGGGTTACTTCTTAGCCTTAATTAATTTCCTTGGCTATGAAGAGTCTTTCTTTAAGATTCCTCCTTTCTTGATTTCTCCTAAGGGAGTTCTTGGAACTTTCTTGTGTGGTGAGGGATTATTTGTGGTGTGAGTTCTAGGTGCCTTCTATGTCCCTATTTATATAATTAAGAGTCCTAATTATGGTCTAAGTGGCATGGGTTCACTAATCCTATTCCTTATAGGACTAAGGGATTGGCTTTAGGGATAAGGGCCCATGGACCATGGTGGACCCCCCCTTTTTGGCTAATTAATGGGTTTTAATTTCCTTTTTATGGTGGGTGATACTTTAATTCATTTTAATTTAGGGGCCGTAACACGGGGTGTTACAGTTCTACCCGCTGGAACATGTGTTGGGGGTCGGCGGGTGGATGTTCACCTGTGGTTCCGCCCTCTGGTACGTGATGCTTTGGCCTCCGTTTGATGAATTCTTGAGTACTTGTATGTCTCCTTTGATGTTTCGTATATCTATAACGGTGTCCTAAGTATCCATGATAGGATTATGAGTCTTGAATCGTGCTTATGGTCCAACATTGTAATTCGTTGGATTTATGTGAAGTCGTTGAGGTTCGATTGAACCGTTATGTTTCCCCTTTTCGATGTGCATGCTAGTTCTAATGTCGTTGATGCTAGTATGTGTTGCTTGTTTGTTCCCGATGAGGATTGGCAACTTGTGTTGCCAATCATGTGAATTGTTGGATTAAAGTCTATTGTTGTTATACCGTTGTTGATGGTCTATCTATGTCTTTCATTGATATCTATCGGTTGTATTCGTTGTCTTGATCTTGTACATATGTTGTACACGTTTGTTGATACTTGATTGGGCTATTGATGAGCCTCAATCCTCTTGATTATGATTATGTGTTACTATGAGATTGGTGGTATTGTTACTGAGCTTTGCTCACGAGATTGGTGGTATTGTTACTATGATATTTAATGGCATTGCGTATGCTGAGAGTTCGGCGGTATAATGATTGGTGGGGGACGACGGTCCCAGGCGGAATAAGGTTGGACTTGGCGTTTAGGGTGGCACTGGAGGTACAGGTTGGAACTGAGATAAGGTCGGGGTAGCCATAAGGTTGGAACAGGGCATAAGGTTAGAACTTGGAACTTGATACTTGTCATACTATGTGAATCTTGTCTTTCATTGCTTATGAGCATGTTTAATGTGAATCCTTCATTGATTATCGTATGTGGTATCCCGTTGTTCGGTATGGTGCCTATGTTATTCTTATTGGCTCGTTGAGTACTGTTGACGTTATTCTTTGACTAAGAGTGTTGCTATGATGAATCTATTGATGTTCCTCTCTTCGTTTTTAAAGGATTATATACTGTATTCCACTGTCTCAAATGCTTTTCCCTATATCTATATATTATGATACTTAACGCGTATTGGTGGGTTACCAGCATCTTTCGCTGACGGGTGTTATCCCTTGTTTTACAGGTTTTGAGTAGATCCAGGAGAGTGTGCTAGTGGCAAGTAGATAGCGTAGTTTCCTTTTGGTAGTTACAGACTTGTGGCCTGTGAGCCTAGTTTATGTTTTGTTAACCGTTGATTGTGGTTTTGACTTAGTGACTTAGCCTGTGCACCTGTAGTTTGGATAGGTGTGGCATGACATTCCCGTACTTAGTTATTCGCTTCCGCTTGACTTGAATGAATGACTAGTTTTATCATTTATGTTTAAGCTTTGATTCTGTGTTAAAATCGGGGGTGTTACATCCACACTCCACCACAACGGAATACAGTCTCGACCTTCAATACCCATCGGCGATCGATTTTAATAAAAATCAAACAACACAAAAAAAAACACACAATAGCAAGGTCTACAAGCATGCAATTTCTCAAATACTCAATACCATTTTGCAGGCAATGAATCAAAATCAAAAACATAATTACAAAAATAATCAAGGCTTTGCTTACGTAGTCTACTCGTCGCTTCAATGGATGCTCATCGCTTACTTCTTCTCGGTGTTGCGTCGACCATAGTTCCAGTTTGTGTAGCAGTCCCCTTGAATTCCGTCGTTTTAGCCCTAGTTAAAGAGACCCGTTTCTTTCGTTCTTCCATTCTTATCTTGCACATTCAATATTCAATTTACCCTTTTACCTCCACTATTACTTAAACCATCCGTTACTTCCCTAATTTACTAGACTCTTAATTTCATTAATTGTGCAATCTGATTTGTTAGATGCTGTCATCCAATGGTTGTCATTTGACCGCAATCCTCACCTAAGCAATTAGCCACACTTGAACCCCACCATATATATATATATATATATATATATATATATATATATATATATATATATATATATATATATATATATATATGATTGGTTATCGGTCGATGACTGATAACCGAAAGGCTATAACCGCAAAAATAATCGAAAAATTGAAAAAAATTTAAGATCAATTACCGAAAACCGACTTTTTCAGTCGGTTCGATTATCAGTTGTCAGTTGTCGGGCGGTTAACCAATATTTTGCTCACTCCTAGATGAGACTACGTTGGAAATAGGTGGTGATATGCCGGCGAAAGAAGGTGGAAACACGCTGGAGACGAGGAACGGGCCAGTTTGGAAAGCTGGTGGAGCAAGCGCGGAAAATCAGGAGAAGCAACGGCCATTTGAGAACAAATATGGTATGTGGATGATTATGCAGAGAAATCCAAAGAGTTACCAAAAAAAGGAGATCCCAAATGTAACCAAGAGAGTGACACATGAGGAAAAAATAACGCACAAAAAAGGAAAGACGGAGGGAATATAGGGAATAACGGTAAGAACTTCAACAAGGAAAGATTCAAAGTGTGGACCAACTCTATCTATGGGGCGCTAGAAATCATGGACAACGGAACCGAAATCGAAGCCCAAGAAGAGGAGGGAACATGGGAAAGGCATGATGGCTCAATAAGCGCCATCCTATCCAATAAAGGAAAAATGCCGCAAGTCCAGGTAACGGAAGCTCAAATTCTTAACGACAGACGCCTAGCAAAGGGAATAGTGTAGGCAGAAAGGATGAGAACAATAGAGCAGAGGGGATCAGAAACACGGTAAGGAAGGGCAGGCAGTCAAGGCAGGTATCGGAAACTGAGAGCCATACAGTGGTGAGGGGATATGCAAATGGAAGTCGGGTTGCCAAAACCATGATTTCAGAAGACGGGGAAGCCATGGAAGTGATCCAGGACTCGAACGAAGCAGGGGAGCACCATCAAGACCCTCATAATGATGCCATAATGGAGTGCCAACTTGAACCTGGTGATCCCATGTAGAGCAGTGTTTTTGAAGGTGTCCAGTCGTCGTCTGGCCTAGGTGTTGCCTTGCAATAAGGCTTGCCAGTGTGTTCTCTTGCTTTATTTTTTTGGGCTTGCTATTGTTATTTCCCTATGAAGTTCATCAATTGGAATTACTAGGGAGCTGCGTCTAGCGAATTTAGGCGTGCACTTTCTCTTCTTGTTAATGAAGTTAAAGCTGATATAGTGAGCTTACTGGAACCTATAATTTCGGGTGGCTTCGCTGATAAAGCAAACAAAAGCTTTGGTTTTGAAAATTAGATGAGAGTGGAAGCCTTGGGCTTCAGTGGAGGCATTTGGCTCATATGGAGAAATGACCTCAATGTTTAAATAATCGCCACCAACCCCCAGTTCGTGCTGACTAGAATAAGCTAGGGAAGTTGCAATTTAGGCATCGTTTCCTTCGTTTACGGCAGCCCATCCCACAACTATAGGAATAAATTATGGGAAGGTCTTTCTCACGACGAATTCAATTTGGATGAAGAGTGGCTCATGGTAGGAGATTTTAACGCAGTGACGGGATTGGAGGACGTGAGCAACAAAGAAAATTTCCAGAACCACAGATGTACAGATATGCGAAATTGGATTTTTAAAGAAGGTCTTATTGATCTTGGTTTCTTTGGTGCCAGGTACCCTTGGACGCGAGGAAATGACAGTACCACCTTGACTAGAGCAAGGCTCGATCGTGCCCTTTGCAACATGGAGTGGTTGGAGAAGCACCTAGGAACCAAGGTGACCAATCTCACTCACTTCTGCTCGGACCATTCGCCGTTCCTGATCGATCTTAGCATCACTGCAAAGGAAAGGAAGAGACAGTCTTTCTACTTCCAAGAAGCTTGGACTCGGCATCCGGACTTCTCTAAGGTCGTTGAACAAGGTTGGGAGATTAACAAAACAATCCTGGACAACATTTTGGCCATGTAGAACAGTTGCATGAATTGGAACAAGTTGGAGTTTGGTAGGGAAAAAAGAGACTAATGGCAAGAATTAACGGGATTCAAAAAAGCATGAGTAACCAGAATAACAATGGGTTTCTGAGACTTGAAAGGAATCTTCACTCGGAACTTGAGGAAACTCTCCACCAAGAAGAGTTGAATTCGTTTCAAAAATCCAAAGAAGAATGGATTCAATTCAGGAGACCTAAATACGAGATTCTACCATGTGGCTACTATGGTCCGCTAACCAGAAACAAGATCCACGGGCTCAAAGATGACAATAACGAATGGGTCCATGACAAAAACCAAGTGGAGACTATGATACAAGACTAATACAAGAGTCTCTATTCCAATGAAGGTGTGACAACCAATCCCGATGAGCTCTCTGGTATGTTCCCCAGGGTCAAGGAGGATCAGTGGGATTTTATGAACAGGAAAGTGTCCATCGACGAGGTAAAAGATGCTCTTATGGCTATGGCCCCGATGAAGGCGCCGAGACCAAATGGTTTCCCCGCCATGTTTTATAAAAAAATCATGGAATGTAGTAGGTGAGTGCTTATTTAAGTTAGTGGGCGACGTCTTTAGAAATGGAAAAATCCCGGAAGGTCTCAATGAGACCAACGTTGTCCTCATACCCAAAGTGCAAAGCCCATAAAAAGTCACGCAATTAAGGCCAATAAGCCTTTGTAACGTGGCTTACAAACTCATAACCAAAGTCATGACCAACAAGCTCAAACTCATCATGTCGGAGCTCATTAGTCCTAACTAGAGTAGCTTCGTGTCCGAGAGACAGATCACCGACAATATCGTCAGATCCTCCATAACATTCGTACAGGGAAACGCCAACCGGGTTACATGGTACTGAAAATCGACCTCGAGAAAGCCTATGATCGTCTGGATTGAGGCTTTATATGGGCAACTCTTAGAGAGGCGGGGCTGGGCACCGACTAGGTCCGTAATATAATGCAATGCGTGGAAACAGCGGGGATATCCATCTTGTGGGAGGGGAAAAAATTAGAGAGGTTCAAACTGGAGCGAGGGGTTAGATAGGGTGATTCCATATTGCCCTACCTCTTCGTTCTTTGCATCGAGCGTTTAGGACATTATTTCTGAAGCAGTAGCCTCAAGGTCGGTGGAAAGGCATTCGAGTGGCAAAAAAAGGGCCCAGCATATCCCAACTCTTTTTTGCAGACAACATGGTGTTGTTCGCGAAAGCGGACGAAAGTCAAATCAACACCATCATGGAGTGCCTGGATAGGTTCTGTAAGTATTCTGGGCAAAGGATTAACAAACATAAATCCAATATTTTCTTTTCCAATAATGTTCCCATAGACAAAACTAGTAAATTGGCGTCGCTTGCTGGAATGCCAATGAAGAACGATCTAGGACGCTACCTCAGGGTCCTCTCGCTTCATGGTAGAGTCACAAAGGATCATTGTAAAAAGATCATTGACCGAGTTCAAGGAAGACTATAAGGGTGGATGACTTGTTTTTTAAGCCTTGCCGAAAGATAGGTTCTTGCTCAATTGGTGCTAAATGCAATACCCTCTTATGCGATGCAAACCATGCTCCTTCCCAAAGGGGTTTGTGACTTGATTGGCAAATATACTCGTAACTTCCTTTAGGGGGGAGATGGCACCAAACATAAGACAAGTCTTGTGAATTGGCAAACCTTCACACAACCTAAAGACTGGGGAGGCCTTGGGATCAAATCCATGCGCAACCTCAACATTTCGTTACTAGCTAGCCAAGCTAGGTTAGCGAGTCTTGAAGGAAAATAATAGCACTTAGACTTGGGTTTTAACCAGTAAATACATGAAAGCTGGAAGCTGCATTACAAACATGAAAAAGGAAAAGACGTGAATCCAATGTTTGGAAGGATATTTGCACTGCTGCTCCCATCTTTGAAAGAGGAGTCACGAAAGTGGTGAAAATGGGAGAGAGACCATGTTCTGGAAGGATTGTAGGATAGGAAATCAACCCATCCAGAGTTGGCTTATTGGTCCCCTCAATAAAGATACCAAGGACATGAAAGTTGTTAACGCATGGGATAGGAGGGGTACGTGGAAATGGGACTGTATCAACGTTGGGCTTTGTAAACACAAAAAAGTAAACTTTGTATATATTCACAAAATCTTTTTACAGCGTGTGTATAATTCAATGCAGGTACAAAATCCATGTCTAGTCCTCTGATTAATCACTGACGTTATCTATGGAAGTGCCTCCGGGATTTAAGTGGCGCGTGCCTCCGGGATTTAAGTGGCGTAGCTTCCGGGATTCAATTGGCGTGACTTCCAACAACGAGCGTCAAGTATTTAGAAGTAATCAACCCTGCAAAGTTTCAAAACACATGCAATGGATTCAAGCTGCCTTAAGGTCCTCAAATGCCTTCAAAAGACTTCAAGATCTTCGAGACAATCAATTCTGCAAAGCTCCAAAGTACCTGCAATGGATTCAAATTGCCCGCAAAATCAACAAAAATGCCTTCAAATCTTTAAGCGTTCTTCAATGCCTTCAAGCTCTTCAAATGCTCTCAATTCCTCAAGTCTTCAACTTCTTCAAACTTTCAAGTTCTTCAAGCTTTCAAGTGTGTTTTGGAATGAAAACGAAGGCTCTATTTATACTAGAAGCCTAACCAACATTCCTCAACAACCTCCCCTTTTTAATTAATTAATTAATTTTAGGAAAATGAACCTTGCCCAGAATCAAGTCCAGGTTCATTATTGTATAATCAAATTCAAATTCAAATTATAATTATCTAATTCAAATATAATAAAATTGTATTATATTTAAATTATAATTATAATTTATAATTCCAATATGAGATGGGCTTGGACCAATTAATTAATTAATTCAACGGTCCAAATCAAATTTAATTGGACTCATTAAATTAAATTAATTTCTATGATCCAATTAATTAAATTGGCCCAATCATCAATCTCAATATTGGCCCAATAACACTTTAATCGGCCCATTTGTCGGGTTCAAATTTTCCGTGTCTACAAATTGCCCCCTCGAGACTTGTCGGGACATGCCGTTTAATGTGCCTGGAGCGAAGTAGTCTCGAAATTTAACAACTGTTGTTTAAATTCAACAACGTGCATCTTAGTTCCATGAGCCCAAAACACATTCATAATATTTCTTGAGTTTAATTTTAGGATGAAATTGACGTAGTGCATCTCCGTGGTCTCAAACATATGAAGATCCTGCCATGTTGATTGGTCTGGATATTGCATGAGCCCAAATCATCCAAAAGACATAACACCAGACTTGCGCCTCGTTGCAAAGATAACTCAAGCCATGCTACACGTAATTCCAATAAACTAACCCAACTACCGCTTTAACCACTAATCCCGTAAAATTAATCTAAACATCTAGCTCAGAACTAATTTTCACCATAGCCCAATAATTAATGCTTGGAGACTTATTAAATCAATTTTGTTTTCGTTAAAATCTAAGTGTTCGGCAGTGGGCTTCCTTTTGATAAGGAGTGCATGGACATCCAATAAACAACATTGGGCCGAAAATCACTTAAATCACATAAAACAAATCAAGCCAACCGCACAACAAATTCCCTCTGACTGGGAGTAGGATCGGGCCACTTAAATTCAAAGTGATGACAATCCCCAATGACTCAAGTTTATCCCTGCGGGATTCCAGCAACAAAACTGTAGAACTCCATTTCAACTCCAACCACAACACTCCTTTACGCCACAGTATAAATATGACCACAACCCATCAGTTTTTTTCAACCACGAACAAAGGAGAGCAAATCACAGCAACGAGCTTCCCTTCAACAAGGTAAATCTCTACTCTTTATTTTTGTTTTCATTATGCGTTTTTATTCACAGGAGTAGGAAAGGAAGGCGAGAAGGAGACTGCAACATGAAGGCTAGAAAGGGACCTGGCAGCAATGGAAACGAGAGGACTAACGAACAAACAAGTTAGGACAACCACCGGAGCTTCAAATAATTTTTGCTAATCGCACATGGAACAACCACTCGGCACGGGACCAATGCGTTACCGTCGGAGTGTGGGTTTCCATCGATTAATGCATAAATTCGAAGAGGAGCAACAGGAGACCTGCCAAACAAGTTAGGACAACCACCGGAGCGCGAGTTTCCACTTGCAGTGCTCGAGTCATGTTGCTGACAGAGCTCTCCGCCGACGGTAGCCAGAGTTCTTTACTGTTTATTGCAGGTCGCCTTTGCTGGAAATCAATGCCTTCTGTTCATCTCTGCTTCTCTACTACTTGGAGGTCGATGTTCGCCAGAGTTCCACCGTTAAGGTCGCCGGAGTTCTTTACCTTTGGTTGCAGGATGCCGGAGACCGCCGGATTTGTTGAAGGTTGCCGGACTGCTGCCCGCCGGAGTTCCTCACGGAAGTCGCCAGAGGATTTTACCGTCAGTTGGAGGTTGATGGATTGCTGCTCACCGGAATTGTTGAAGGTTGCCGGACTGATGCTCGTCGCACTTAGCCCCTCGCCGACGCTGCCGTCTTGTCGATTGCTGGAGCTCCTCGGCGAATTTTTGGTTTTGTTTTGTTTTTTTTTTTTTAAGTCGCTGGAAACTGCCGGAATGTTGCTCGCCGGAATCCAGAAGTCGCTGCTGTTGGAGCTTTCAACTACAACCAAATGTCGTCGTCGCACTCTGTCTCTTCGCCGTGGGTGTCGCTGGGAGTTATTGCCGAAGTCCGTCGCCTTTGGATCGCCATCGCATAGCTCTGTTTCTCTATTGTTGTTGGTGCAGGATCGCTGCCTGGAGTTAATCTTCCCACCGTCGAAAGCATCGCTAAGCTCAGTTCTCTTCCGTCTTCGTAGCTGGAAATGGACTGAAGTCCCCTGTTGGAGCTTCACTTCTCGACCGTCGACACTGCTGCATAGCCTAAGCGAAGAGGGAGGTGCAAACGAGAATTGGTGTTGGTGAAGACTTGCAAAGTGGAGAGTGAGATGGATTGAATTAAATGGTGATGGATTGGATGGTGACAACA